CGTGTGGAAATTGGCAAAAATGTGGTTGCGTGTCTCACGTAGATGTGAGACAAATGTACGATTGGAACTCAGCAGACTAAGTATGGATATGGATATGAGAATCACACTTACATCACATCTATATCCTTACCAATTTGTTACATATCTCAGAAAAGAGTATTTCAAAGGAACAAGAATTTTCTTTAATTTTTAGGTTCTTTTAATAAACTTGTCGAGTACCATAATTTTCATGTTCAAAATCTTGCGAAGGTCAGATGTCAGTAATGTTTGAATAAACGAGACCATTTAGTATCGCAAGATCATAGAAGAAAAGTACTATAAGAGTATGCGAGTACGGATTGTGTGTGTATAATTGATGAATGCAAATTTTGCACAGTCACATTAAAGTTAAGTACAAAGTTTATTCATTCAAAAGTCTCATCTTTCCATTTAGGTTCAAAATCTTTCGGTAAAGTTTCAATATTCATTGGATATAATTTGCTATCATAATCTTTGTTATCGACCATGGAACCTTCATGATAATTAATCAGTGTATGACGAACAACCATCCATGCACGTCTTTGACCAGGTGGTGGGATCGACGCGTTACATGCGCTACGTTCGATTGATTGTCTATTTAAATCATTATACCAGGCTGGATGCTTTTCATTGTAATATTTCGCTTTTGGAAATATATATTCATATTGATCATCATCTTCACTTTCTGTCTGTGAATCATTTGACTGAGAGTTTTTCAATATGTTAACACCTATTGTTTTCCAACGTTGATAACATAATTCAAGGCACGGTGTGCGTAATGGGTAATATACCCATCCATGAAATGCACTTGCTAAATGATACGTTGTTTCATGAGTTGTAACAGAAATTGGATCAGGGCGTTTACAAGTGCAATAATTTGGTGGACAGGTTTTACATGGATCTTGCCAGACTTCAACGTCTTCTTTTTCATGATGTCCTGGTTTACCACATTTAGCTCCACATCCTGGACATCGTGCTTGGCAACCAAGTTTTTTAGCAATACTCTGTTTACAAGTTGTAAACGCTTTAGTTTTCATGTCTTTTGTTAATTCTGTAACTCGTTCTTTGATATTTTTGTAACAATTACGAATATTTGAAAAACCTTGTTTAAATCGTTCTGTATCTTTAATTGGCATGCGAACCACAATACGCAATGAAAACATTTGAAATAATTTTGTATCGACTGATTGGCTTAGTTTTAAATCCGGTAGGTTAAGAATCGCATCATGGATATCTTTATTTAATAGACCGGTATGTTCATATGCGTTTCGCTCAACGACTTCGTTCGCTTTATCGATGGCCAACCTAATAAAATCTTCAAAAAGTAAGGTGTGTTTATGTATTACCACATGTAATGTCGTTCTAATTTCATTTAAACTTAATTCAATAAAATAACGATTAATATCATAAACATACTTAAGAATATTTTCTCCATTTGCTTGACCTATACTTTCTGCATAGGCTTGTTTTTGTATTGACTCATGATTAATAAATTGACTTCTAAATATATCTTCTGTGATATCTTTTTCAATTCGACGTTGTAAAAGATTACTAATTTCATCAATAATCTGTTTTCCAACTGTTTCAGCCAGTGTTTGACCTAATTCAAATGAATCTTTCATAGCCATACATTGTTTTAATAAACTGTCTTTACATGCTTCCATTTCATTTTTAGAATTTTGTAAATTTGATTCATAGGTTGTTTGTTCAATATCTATTGCTTTATTAATTATGATACGAAGACCAATAACAGCGAGATCGAAACATAATTTAGGTTTCTCTAAATATCGACTATTATTAATGATGCTTTGCGTATTCATTGCATTTTCAATATATTGTAAAAGGTGCTGAACCGTTTTTGGATCTGATGAAAACGATTTCGTATGGTCGAGTAATCCTAGAAGATCTTCTTCAAATTTTGGTACAATATTATTCCATATTTCTGTAAATATTTTCTCATTTTTAGCTTCGTTTTTATCATTGGTAAACCATCCTAAAGTATTTTTTAAGTCTTTCCATAAACACCCAATTGGTTTTTGTGATGATCCTGTGAAAAATGATTTGATAGTTTTCAAAAAACGACGAGATTTGGCTTGAACCGTCTGTTGCGTCTCTTGTCTTGATCTTGACAAGCAATTTTCAAATTTTTGTATATGTGCTTTGTATTCTGCCTCATCTTTTATAACAGATAAGTGATTATAAATATTTTCTCTTCCGGTTGCCACTTGTTTAGATTGCAGTTGATTATTATAAAATTTTAAAAGTTTTTTAATAATCATAGATTCTGTTTCAACTGATGATTCAAGCTCTTTGTGATGTTGTTCAATGATACGTTTAAATTGTATTTCGACACGAGTTTCCAACTCACCTGATTTCAGACTTTTATTTTCATCAAACTCATTTTGTACTGAATTTAATAGTTGTTGTTGAGCACTATCTAGACGAGCTTTTTTCGACAGACTAAGCAAACGATCTTCAAAAATCTCGTTTAATAAATGCTGTGCAGAACGAATTGGTGGTTCCATACGTTTACTTATTTTTAGTTTCATTTCCGGTAGATAACAACTTCTTTCTGTTTTATCATCGAAATTCTTTCTTGCTTGTTCTATGGCATGCGTAATAATTAGACTTAATTCATGATCAAATTTTCCAACGATACGATCACGATCTATATCAATAAATTTCTTCTTTGAAAACTCCAACAATGTTTCATTAATCAAGTTTTCACCCTTTTCATGCACAGTAACATTTATAGTCTGAATTATATCAATAGCTATCGTCTGCAGCTCTTCCATTATAGATATTTCATATAGTGTTTTACATGCTAATAATCGAGGACCTAAACGATCGATTGTTTCCCAATTACTGCAGATTTTTGTATACAAATGTGTCATATCTGTATAAGCTGGGTCGTTGGCCGGTGTTCGAGGATCGGTAGGAGTGGATGTAGTAGTAATAGGAATATTGTTATTAAATTGAAACCTTTGTGGCTTTATAGTATTCCTAATATTATTAAATATTTTATCTCGAAGTTTAATAATTTCTTTTGGAAATGTTTGATTTCTCCAAGATTGCGCTATGTTTGAAATTACATTTACATCATGTGAAAATGCATTAGGCAATAGATAAACATTTTCATCTTGAATATCAATTTCTTCATCAATTGAATTTTTTATAGGCCCAGTATCAAGTTGTAATTGTTCCTTCAATTTTGTCAATTGTCCAAAGAATATTTCCTTCGATGTCAGATCTGCTTGATCTCTTAAAACAAATAATAATTTTGGTTTGATTGGACTATGAATTTGTAGTTTAGCATAGAAACTTATACCAATGAGATCTTTTAAATTAGTACTAAATTCACCTTTATGATTAATTAGAACAAGATGCGAAGAAAGCATAGCCATTGTTATCATTTGATTATCAAATATTGGACCAGCTTCTTCTAATGAAAGTAAACCTTCCGTATCAAAAATAATAAATGTTTCTGATCTCCATTGTATAACACTCATATACATTCCGATTGTACAACGTCCAGCACTAACACGAAAATTACAACCAAATGTTGTATTCAATAATGATGATTTAGCTGATGATTGTTCTCCAATAACTGTTAAAACTAAAGGTGGTTGTTGTATTGTTTGAATAAAACTTATACTTTTTTTTAATAATTCACTACGGCAATGTAATGGACGACCACGAAGTATATGAAAAGCAAAACCTTTTAACATTAGATTTGATAATGTTTTAGCGATATCTTCTATAAGCTTTTCAGAAGGAAATAAATGAGGAGAAAATTCATATAAAGCCAGTATCTCATCACAAAAAAGACCAATAGTCAAATCAATATTCATTAATTTATTATCTATTTGAGTGACAAGTGTACGTTGTCTATTAAATTCAGCTTTAGCATCACGTAAGTCGTCCTCCATTTTCTTTCTGTCTGGTTGATTGAAGTTTTCTTCTGTTGACAAGCGTTGTTCTAACTGTTTAATTTGTGAACTAAACTTCAAAGCTACATTTTTAGCTTCTCTTAATTGTTCATGTAATGTTGATTCAAATTGTGATCGCCATTTTTCTAAGTATATTTCAGTTATGAGTAGTTCAATGTATGAACATTTGGTCAATAAATGAATGAAAAAACGTGTATAATTATTGATGCTTTTGATATTTGATCGTTCTTGATTTAACATATCTTTTCTGGCTTGAATGCCCGTTTGAGGAGCATCCCAGTTTTCTAAATCTCTCTCACATTGTTTTATAGCTGACTCCAAATAACTAACTGGTGTTGCTAGACGAAGATTTTCTGTTCGGTCATTTAAAGACTCGAATAATTTTTTGAGACGATTTTCAATTTGAAAACTACGATTAACAGGTGGACTAAAGTTTGTGGATGTTTTTACCGTATTATAATAAGATTGAATAGAAAATATTGATGTACAATGTATTTGTTGTTGTATTTCTTTATTTAGACTTTCTCGCACTCCACTAAGTGATTTCAGCAGACGTTGTGAACGTGCTAAATCTTTATTCCTTCTGTTACTATCATGCTGCAACCATAATGTAGAAGGTGGTGCTGTTACCCATTTTACACCCGTCCACTTTTGATATTTTAATTTAAAAGCGTTAATTAATTTTTCAGGTTGATGACGTTTATCATCATAGTTTGGATCAAAAATGATAATGATCATCGGTTTTCCTTGAATATGCTTTGAGTAATTCATCATAGAATTTAAAAATGTACTCTTAAGATCTTCTTCAGTTACATAGAAAATTTGTAGTGTGCAAAATTCTTGAATCGAACTAATAATATCTTCATTTAAAGCATTTATTATCCCATGTACATCAAAGATAACATAAGATTCCTTCTTTTGATTTGTTACATCCGATGGAAAAAGTACATCAATACAACCATTACGAAGAGTTGAACTGCCATCTGTATTTAATGTTTCGATTCGTTTATCCGGAAAGATAAATTGTAGCAAGCTTGTTTTACCCATTCCTATCGTTGATTCACTACCAATTTGTAAAATATAATGACCGGTAGTCAAACACATTGTTTCAGCAAGTACATTAAAATTAATTTTATATTCAAGAAGTTTTTTTTGTTCATTCCATATATAATATGAAAATGGTAATGGCAAATCATTTTTCTTAATAAAATTACCAAAATAACGTTGACTTTCATAGGATAATGACTCTATAGTTGTTGTTAATAAAACTGATTTTGTTATTGTATCTGCTATGTGAAGAATATTTTCAATTGTTGTTGAATGTTGCGATGGAAAACTTGTCAGCGCTAATTCAGTGCATGACGGTAAAATGTGAATAATGTCCATTAAGCTATTATATCTTTTCAAACTATCAACGACATATACTTTTAGTGAATGATTTTTAGCTATTTCTTTGACTAATGTTCGTGCATCGATTGCCTCATCTACTAATGTATTGAATGTTCGATCTAATCCGGTAGATTGTTTGACACTTTGAGGCAAGCATAAATACAATGACCATTTTTTTAACAATTCATAATCATCAGCATTAAAATACTGAGCATCAACTTGTACACTCGAGATGTAGTTATCATCTTGAAGCAGATATTTTGAATCAATTGGGTTATGGATATTTGAAACATTTCCAGTCGGCCTGGGACAGGTAGCCTTGGTGCCAATTCTTGCTAAAAAAATTGAAAAAGACAAAACTGTGGACTCAAGCTATAGTCAAAAGAAAAAATCAAACAGGCTAATAAACAGGTAGGACCAAGAGTACTTCATATGGAATAGTTTTAGAAAAACCTATAAAAGGGTATTCATTTCTTGAAAGTGCATATTATCATTACACAAAAAAAAAATATATGAAAGTTTTTGAAATCGTAGGTGAAAAGAGGATGATGGCGAAGATATTACACTACAGATTAATAGACATGTACATAGATTCATGATTAGCCTATTATTTCAGAAGTATGATCCAACTAAGTAGTGTGCATGTGATTTAGAAAAAAATTTGTTCATATCTCATTTTTCTGTGATAGAACATATCAAAAGCAATTTAAATACAGTTATACAAAGAACCAAACTGTAGTGGTTCGGAAATCATCAGTTTGATCCTTTTCTTTTGGTATAGACTTTCCGATTTTTTTAATTGGCTTGTGTTGCACTTTGCGAAAAGTACAATCCAAACGTAATAGGCAAGAATATTCTTTTGAAACGCTTCAAAATATGAGTATGAATTAATTTTGCTCGCATTCACATCTTACCGTATTCCTCTCTCCTCATTGGTAGAGGAAATGTACTTTTTACTTTATAGTCCTCTCTTTCTCGGAATATAGAAAGCAAAGAGTCCGCAAAACATCGATTTAAAATTCGTAGACACTATTTTCTTTGAGAATATGTGTGAGTTTCATAGAAATCATTAAAACAGGAAGCGGATAGTGAAGAAAGTTCCTTGAATAGCTTAGACATTCCGTAGGAATCATTGTTGAATATAAAAGATCTGTGCTAACCTGCTGGCAAAGTTTTGTGAGTTTGTGTACCACTGGCAGTTAAAAACGGGTCATTATTTCCAGCCGATCGTAAATCCTAATCGATAAAAAAAGTTATTTACAATCTTCAGTTCACATCGATATGTTTTACTGTATCAGCGTTCTCAGATGACTGTAATCTAGCGCGAATATCACCAGTATCTGCTGCTGACATTGTTGATTTTCGATATTGTCCTGATCTAAAAATAACCTCTTTTGCTTAACAAATCACAGGAGAAAATTTATCGACGTAAAAACAATTACTTGAGTTTCCTACGTTCAGTATTGAAAGTTATTCGATGCTTTAATTGAGGAATTAATTCTTTTAACAATGTGTCATCTAAACCATCGCTGATTAATAGAGAACCATCAATTTCATTTTCTAAAAACAATAATACAACAGTCACTGTTCTTCACAAAAAATGGCCACAATGAATTAAGTTAGAAGTTACTGCGATTAAATATATAATTTGTAATTAGAAACCACGGAATACACTAATCCTAGTTTTTACAGATTAAAAAATGGAAAAAACCTTACGTTTGAAATTTTCAATAAATGCTGTCATATTGATAGATTCAAGCCATTGAGCTACTTGTTCTATTGACCATGATTCAGGTGCACTGCTCATCATAACTTCTAATTTTAGAAAAAAAAGACAATGTGTAAGTTGTTCTATTACAGATGACAAATCTTTTTGAAACATTACCTTTAATATTTCGATCAGACAATTCGAGATCTGACGTATTAACAATATTAATATTTGAAGATAATTTATCAATTTTGTTTTGAATTTGTACTTTCGAAGTGTTAACGGCTACTTGCTTTCCGCTAATGATTATCGTTCCATAAGTTTCATTCATAATAATGATGACATGTGGGGAATCTTCTAGTTTCTTGACAAATTCTTTAAACTCTGTTCTTTGAATTATGTCTTTATCTACATTGACAGTTATTGTTTCCGTCGGTTGTGACATTGATGAAGTTGAAGAATCTTTATTATAGGTTGCTATTGAATTTAATTTATCTATAAGACAAATTACAATCTTTGAAAATCTTAATAAATGATTCATGAGACGCTCAGACTTGGCATATTCGACAGGGAAAGTGCAGGTTTTGAACGTCAGCCTCTACACAAGAAAATCGATCTCAAGGATTTTGAAAAGTCGATTACACATTCCGATTCCTTGACTCCGAAAACCTTCAGGCAAGTTTTATAAAAAAATCGTTCAAATATGCTGAATTTACAACAGACGCCACCATCAATTTTTTGAAAGATATTAACGATGGCGCCGGTTAGACAGTGAAAAAGAAAAGTAAAACCAGGGCGTTCAAATTTTTTCAAGTATTTTCGCAACGTTTTTTACCACCACCTGTTCCATTCGTACGAGGCTCATTGAATCTTGTTATTGCTGGAAATTATTCAGAACAAGACCGATTTTATGGCTCATTATTTCAACGTTTGCAACTGAGCAAACTTATTCACAAAGAATTAAATTCTTCATCAATTCCATTTCATTATTTTTGTACATCAGTTAAAAAATCGATTCCAAAACGAACAGGTAAAATATGCAACAAATATTTTCCTAGTACGGAAAGAAGAAAAAACCACTGTAAAATACATAAACTGTAGCAGATCTCCTAAGTAACTTCATTAAAAAAATGGCAAATGATCTTATTTTTCAGAAAAGGTGTGAACTAATAGGATCTTCGTCAACTATTGACTCTGTGCTAAAGTTCGACCTTCTTATGGTCAACTTAACTCTTGGAAAACTCTGACAAATACTTTAGTTTTTGAACGGAAAATTTTCAAATTGGATAGAAATAGAAGTATTTACCCAATGTTTTGTACCGTATAATGATGAGAACCATAAAAAAAGTGTTGAAATAAGTCATTGTCGATAAATTGAATAAGATTTCTTTAGTCAATATGAATAGTTAAAGATATTCTTGCTCAATAAATGTAAGTGACATCGCCTTTTCTCATCAATTTCGATAGACATGAAATAATAGAGGAAAAAAATCACTCTAAGACAAAGATTTCAGCATAGATAAGATGAATAGTTGTTTTTCAATGTTCATTCGAAAATACGTCGTTTATTTAAATTTACGTGTTCGAATAAATGAAGGAGAACTGTTAAATCGTTAGTGAAAGTTTTATTCAAAATAATAAAAGAAAAACAGTCTTTTGATTCGAGCAAAAATGCTTTTTTGTGAATAAGAACCTGATAAAATCTGCGTTGATGGTGGAACGTGTTTCAAATGAAAATAAAATATCAATTTCATCGATCAATAAATGGTTAACATCAAAGAGTTTTATTTATTCATTTGCATTTGTCAAATACTCTCTTTTGTTATGACTTCTTTTTTATCACGTTCTTTGTCTCTTATTTAAAAAGCCAATCTTCACTATTCAACCAACTTACTTAGGCGGCATTGCACGTAAGCCATGACCGACCTTGCGCAACCGATCTCACCGATTTGGCACATATTTTCACAGTACGTAGACCTAACATCAGGGCTGCCAAATCTCCTGATTTAGCCAGGAGACTCCTGATTTTTAGACTTTTCTCTTGGTGAAAAAATCTCCTGACTCCAGAAGCTGATTTTTATGATTTTCTTCTGGTTTCTTCTGGTTTTTTAAAGGATTTTGTCACATTTAATTGTAGTGATATTTTGAATCAATAAGACAAAGAAAAAGAGAACTATCACACTATTTCATAGATGCAATAGACAATAAGAAAACACGTCGTTTCTGCTTGTTAGGCCTGATAACATGCGTTTATTTGTGAGCTTATCTTCTTGACGGTTAAAATGTACCTCATGGACAAAAACTAGTTTAGTTCGCTTTTTCTATATCAACCTAGAATGCTATTTGTGAATTGACCTTCAGCTACATGAAATTTTTGTGGGCTCCTAATAGAAACGATTTGAAGTGCAATCTTATTGGTGCATAATTAGGAACTAAATGAATAATCATCTCAGTTATACAAAGTTCTATAATTATCTTTTAAATAATTCAAACCTATTGAAACAAATTCAGTCTTTAGAAAAATATGGTCATGTTCATAGGTGGCGAAATGTTTTGGATCTAGGGTAGGCTCAACAATTTTTTACAAGATTCGCACCAGAAAATTAAAAATATGGACTAAGCCAATTTTTGTGATGCCATCTTGATGAAACAAAGTTAGTGTTTCTCATTTCGAACTCGTATTTTGTAATGTATGACGCTGATAGAGATAAGAAAAGCATTTGCAACTTATGAGTCAAAAAATGTATATTTAAGAAAACATGTCAATGATTATCTTCATTGACTTTCAACTCTCACAAGAATTGTTTTCCATCTGCTGTGCTAAAAAATAAAATAATGTCCAAGCAGCAATGTTCACAAAAACGACATTACATTATGAATGTTTTTATTGTGTTGAAAAGATATTTTTTCTGCGGGAATATTTTTCTATACTCGTCGTTTTCTTGCTCCATTTCTTATGGCAATAGGAACTCCATTAAATATTGGTGTTCCCGCATTTTTTCTCGTATTTACCTACATACTCGGATGCATGTATGTAACAGCTTTTTATTTTTACGTAACTAACCTACTGTAGCTCCAATCATAATTATATTTTTAATTTCAAGTCGTGTCACGGTTATCTTAAAATCTAAAAATAAAACAGGAATATGAATTCCTGAAGTCTGATGATTAGAAATGTAAATCGCCGAGCTGAGTCGCCGTTGTCGGTGGGACAAATAAACTAACAGTTTTGAAGATTTTTCGACCCCTGAGATTACTCTTCAACGATGTTTTTGTCTAGGTTTTTTATCAGTGTGTTCTCTACCATTGTTTTCTCTTTTTCCATTCGATAATTTCTCGAAAATAAGAAAAACCTTAAAGAAATCGTCCAACAAATTCACTCGCCTCCGCCGACAGACTAAAATAGTTGAGTATTTTCAGTCGCTACCGAAAGAGAAAAAAATACTAAAATCACACTTACACACCACCGATCTATGAACTGGTTTACGCTTCTGCTTACGGAAGTGAAAATAAATTTTTTTCTGGGAATGATAGTGTAAGAATAAGATAACAGTTTTTTT